AGGTAGCCAGTGCAGAGACTGTAAAATTGGGGTAATGTGATCATATTTTCTTGACCTGGTAAGGACTCTAGCTGCTGCATTTTGGACTACCTGTAGCTTGTTTATTGAAGATGCAGGACAACCAGCTAGCAGTGCATTACAATAGTCCAGTCTAGAGGTCATGAATGCATGAACTAGCTTTTCTGCATCAGAAACAGGTAACATGTTTCGTAACTTGGCAATGTTTCTAAGATGGAAAACATTCATCATTGGAAACATTCAAGTCATCTTTTGTTTTGTTGACTAGATCAATCACACGTTGGTGGGCGGAGTTAGTGTAAATAGCCTCTGCCAACAAGACGGCCTATTTGCACTTAGTGTAAATACACTCCATTAAATTAATGTTTGGTAGAGAAGATATCGGAGTAGCAAAATAGTTACAATGAAACTGTTTTTTTTTATATAAATTAATTATTATAAAAGAAAAATGGATAATTTTGACCCATACAATGTATTTTTGGCTTTTGCTAAAATATACCTGTACTACTTATGACTGCTTTTGTGCTCCAGGGTCACAAATGAGAAAATCTAGTTATAATTACAATCATTTAAGAACAACAGAAGTCAGTGGGAGGTCGGCAACATGAGATTATTAAGATAAACATGATGTGTTGAGTCATATCTGTGAAAATATGAAAAACAATAGTTAGAGCATGAATGTGTTTTGCCAGTGCTGAAGGCTGAGCTATTGTTTCTGCGAATTCGAATCCAAATTTTTATCAAATTTGCAAGTGTTGCTAAAACAGCAAGGAGAAGCACGCTAGATGATGATCTGGAGTAATTAGTGTATATTGGCAGCCGTACGCACAAACCCAGCCAAGACAAAAGCGTTAATTAACATCCAATATCGGGTTTAGATGGTGTTACAATCTTTAACCCTCCAGCATTAAAGGCGCCTGGATGTCTTGGGTCGCGGTGGCCTGGTTTTGCTTTTTTGTTGTTTGTCTTTTTTAATATTTCACTCTCGCTCTCACCATCGTTCCCCGAGGCTCGGCGGCGGGTGAACCTGTCTATACACAGTACATCACTTTACACGGCTGTAACGTATATCCGCCTCATGCGTATCTGCTTTCCTTTCATTTCCCAGGAATGTGACCAAGTTCACATCGATGATGTGGCCTCGGATGACAATGGGCAGGACTTGAGGTAGAGTATGACTTTCCTTCATCTAGCACAGCGAGCAACAATATGAGCATTTCCAATAAAACAGATATTATGGGCCGTAAAGGGATCCTGTACTTCATGCTGCTGACATATTGAGTATTAAACGTTGTTGGTTTTTATCCTAGTTTTGAGGCAAGCCCTCGCTCTGCTTCCAGACGTTTTATGATGGACATTAATCACACATTTAAGAGCACGTCTTCGGAGTTATTAAATGAACAGTCCTCTGAAAATTACATTTCTGTCATTATTTACTCACCCTTTTATTCCAACCCCATATTAATACTCCCAAAAAGTACCATGAAAGCAGTCTATATAATTTAGCGAACATCCTTTATTTAAATTGTTTTTTAATATTTTATTGATTTTTACTGAAATTTTATTTTTGTTTCATTTTTTTAAATGAATTACTATGAACTGATCCTATATGAAAAAGCAACAGGAATATTTTTAAAGTTCGAAAAGGAGAAAAATACTCTGAAAATGTACTATAAAAGCAGTCTATATTATTTTGTAAGTGTTTTATTTTCAATTATTTATTTATTCATTCACTATGAACTGATCCTATATGAAAAAGCAACAGGAATATTTTTTCAAAGCTCCAAAAGTACAAAAATATTCCAAAAAGTACCCTAAAAGCAATCTATGTTTTATTAAATATTAAATATTTCAATTTATTTTAAATTATTTTATTGATTTTTTTTACTGAAATGTACGGACTTTTTTCCCCACTTTATTAGTTATTTAGTTATGAATATATATATATATATATATATCTCTCTCTGCAGGATTCTTTTTTAAATAAAAAATGGGTCTGAATACTTTCCGTACCCACTGTATATATATATATATCTCTGCAGGATTCTTTTTTAAATAAAAAAAAATTTATAATTGGTTTTACTGAAAATATCTTATTTCAATTTACTGGTTTTATTTTTCAATTTATTTGTGAAAAAAAGCAGCAATATTGTTAAGTGCAAAATCACTCCAAAAATTATTACATGATTTAAATGATGTAAATATCTGTAAACATATTAAATGATGTAAACATCCTATTATTTAATTTATTTTAAAATCTTGAATTTGTTTGTTTTAATTTACAGATTCCTATTTATTTATTTATTTTCTTACTGAATATTAATTGATGCTATATGAAAAAAAGAAGCAGGGACATTTTTTTATCGAATCTCCTTTTATAGAATGACAAGAGGATGAATAAATTATAATAAATTATTTTCATTTTTAGGTGAGCTATATCTTTAACATAACGGCATGCTGACACTGGTTATCAAACATTATAGTTTCTTATCAGAGTTTGTAGGCAGACTCTCTCTCTGCTTCCAGACATTTTACGATGGACATTAATCAGACTTTTAGGAGCCTGTCAGAAGGTGTGAAGCGGATCTGAAGCTGACCGTGTGTGTGTGTGTGTGTCTGTCTGTCTGTCTGTACTTGCAGCACGTATAACTTTGGCACGGATGGCTTCCAGAGCCCAGCAGGTGGAAGCACGCTCTGCTTGGGCTCAGGTGTTCACGGCGGGGTCGACTGGATGAGGAAACTTGCCTTCCGCTACCGCAGAGTCAAAGAGATCTACAACACCTACAAGAACAATGTAGGAGGTGAGAAGAGAACCCCGCAGCATTCCACACCCCTGCTTTCACAGCTATGAGTACAAGCAGAATTAGGGCCAGATATGACTAGTACACAACAGATAGATCCTGTTCTCAAATCTGATTGGTCGAATCATGCTGGAAGCCGTTGTAAAAGAGCCGAAGTACACACAGCTGTAGCCGCATGTCAGCTTACTTCTATATTAACACATCAACTGTAAACACTGTACAGTTAGACTGAAGAACTATTACCAGATATAAAGTAATACTGTAGTAATAATATTATTATTGTTGTTGACCGTAGCAAGAAATAATAATATTGCAACAATTCTTGCAGCAAGTAATATTTTAATAGCATTTTATTGTTGATGAGAGCAATGTAATTAATTGATTAATTAATTATAATGAATATTAATATACATTTGTATTTAGATATGCAATACATATGTTTGTGTAATATTTAAGTACATTTATTTATTTAAATACTGTATGAATTGGACATTTCAGCTATTGGCTACATTTGGCCCTGTGGGATTTTATGAAAATAAATACAGACAAGTAAAAAAATGTATTTGGACAGTTGTAGTTTGTGACGTTCTAATACATTAAATATGTAATAGGTAAAACTGTAAAAGAAAATAATATTTATTATGGATTTTCAGTTCTTTGAAATGAAGTAAAAATAAATGAATAAATTAATTAAATGTATTAAAAGAATAAATTATTTTTCTTGAAATTAAAAAAGGGAACATAAAAGTGCCTGTAGTTCAAGATTAATCAATTCAATTAAATTAATCAATTATTAAATATGATTTAATATAAAAATAGTCAGAATAAACCAAATTATTTGTTGTACATCATATTAGAAATTTTTTTGACTTTTTTCTTGTTTTAATTAGAACAAACAAACAAACAAACACTGGAACATAAAAGTGCCTGTAGTTCAAGAAATTATTATTAAATATGATTTAATAATAAAATAGTCAGAATAAACCAAATTATTTGTTGTATATCATATTAGAATTTTTTTTTTGGACTTTTTTCTTGTTTTAATTAGAACAAACAAACAAACACTGGAACATAAAAGTGCCTGTAGTTCAAGAAATTCTTATGAAATATTATTTAATATTAAATTATTTAGAAAAAACTAATAATTAATTGTACATTTTATTGTTGTGGTTATAAAAGCAGCATGTGTTACACTGGTTTTAAGATGTTTTTACCAAACAACCCTGTAAAATCACTATAAGTCATGGCCAGTTGTTGACATTTCTTACTGTCATTTTTGGATTCTCAGAAGCCACATTCATTCATTGGTTTCATGCATGAATCTTCAGTGTGATGCTCAGCTGGATTGCTGTTGTTTTGCAGGTTTGCTGGGCAGTCCGAAGCGGGAAGAGTGGCTTCAGCTGAGGCGGGAGATGGAGGTTTTGACGGATCTGTGGCTGACGCAGGCACTCAAAGCTCTCGCTCTCATCAACTCCAGGTGAGCACAGCACACATACGATAGCACAGCAATATTCCAGCTTAAATATACAAGAGTTCAAGAGCAGAAACTAGCGTCTGTGGTAATCCACAGCGTGCCACAGATACTGAATCTGGAATATTCCTTTAACAATAGACTTACTTTACAGCAGTTTTGTGTCACTCAAACATAATAGGTTTTGGCAAGCAAAGATTGATGACACTGACAGATGATGATTAATAGCACAACATATTTCTGTCTCATGACTTCTTTTACTTATTTAACACGAAAGTGAGGTTTAGCAGAACATCTGAGCTGCTTTTCAATGAAATCTATGTAGTGACCAGAACCTGTCAAGATCCAAAAAGAACGAAAAGGCATCATAAATGTAGAACAGTGCATATGAACAGTGCTCTGAAGCCATACGATAGAAACTATGGAAGTTTATTTTCACCACAGAATAATAAAATAATACAAATCATAACAATTCTGCCTTTTTTTTTTTTTAGAAATCTCATTCTGTTTTTTTTTCACAATGGAATAAAAAATGTTGATAATTGCAATTTTTTTTTTGCAATACTCATTTTTAATTTTATTTGTTTATTGCAATTGCAACTTTACTGGACTTTGCAATTATGAGTTTATATTTCGCAATTATGAGATTATATCTTGCAATTATGTTCATGTCTCGCAATTATGAGTTATATTTCACAAATATGAGATTACTGTATATCTTGCAATTATGAGTTTACATTTTGTGATTGAGTTATATTTCACAATTATGCGATTATATTTTGCAGTTATGAGTTATATTTCGCAATTGTTATGTCTTGTAATTATGAGTTAATTTTCACAATTATGAGATTATCTTTTGCAAATATGAGTTATGTTTCACAATTGAGATTGTATTTCACAATTATGAGTTTATATTTTTCAATTCTGAATTTATATCTTGTAATTATGAGTTAATATTGAGTTTATTTTTTGCAGTTATGACTTTATATTTCACAATTCTTAGATTATATTTCGCAATTGAATTTGTATCTCACAATTCTTTTTTTTCTTTTTATTCCATGGCTAAAATAAGCTTCCATAAGAAATAAATGCAAATGAAGCCTTTTTTTCTCTAAAATCTTCCCCTCCATCAAAGCTCTAAATCTGTATGTTTTTACAGAGAAACAGCTCAACTAAATCCAGACCAGATTTGTATTTATGACTGCAGTATTCCTTTAAGAGTCCTTCATTTTTGTGAATGAGTTACTTACATATGTTCCCTCTCACAGACCGAATTGTGTGAACGTGATGGTCACCACCACGCAGCTGATCCCAGCGCTCTCCAAAGTACTGCTCTACGGGCTTGGAGGAGCTTTTCCCATCGAGAACATCTACAGTGCCACCAAAACAGGTTGAGTGCTTCTTCAAACGCTGCATTTCAGAAAGTTTTCCTGATCTAGAAACAGAATTGGTAACGTCGTGTGCCTATTCTAGGTAAAGAAAGCTGCTTTGAGCGCGTGACCCAGAGGTTCGGCCGCAGAGCCGTGTATGTGGTTGTAGGGGATGGAGTCGAGGAGGAGACGGTCGCCAAGAAGGTAAGAAGGAATAATGGCAAAACACATGCTGAATGAGTACTGTAGTATGGGATTGTAAAAAGAAACATGGCCTCTTTTTATTAACAAAGGCTAAGTGAATGCATACACCATTTTATGGTGTAATAGGATGAAATTAGATTTGAATGTGTCAAAAACGAAAGAGATAATCATCAATTTTAGTAGCAAAACACTTGCACCTCAAAGGGTGATCATTAATGACACACAGGTTCATGTAGTGGAGAAATACAAGTATTTAGGAACGATTATTGATAATAGGCTGAAGTTTGATCAAAACACAGATGCAATTATTAAAAAGTCAAATCAAAGATTGTTTGTGCTGAGGAAGCTAAATTCCTTTAAATGTACAGAGAGTCATTCTCAGGACTTTTTATAATTCATTTGTTGAAAGTATATTGTCCTTTTCCTTTATTTGTTGGTTTTCCTTATTGTCTACAAAGAACAAAATCATTTGCAAGGTATTGTTAATATGTGCTCAAAAATTGTAGGTGTTCCCTTGCGAAGTCTTACATTTTATTATGAACAGCAAGTGATGAGGATGGCACATAAGATTACAGGAGACTGCACACACCCTTTGAATGATTATTTTGAGTGGATGCCCCTTGGGCGACGTTTAAGGTCAATTAGATGTTCCACAAACCAGTACAAATTTACTTTTGTGCCTGAAGCAATACGTTTATGTAATAAATCGTAATAAAATGATTTTTTTTTTTATTTAAATTTGTTTCCCCCTTTTTATGTATTTGGTGTATTTAAAATATATGTATTTGTGTGTTAAGTGTTGTATATGTGAAGCACCACGAAAGTCTGAATGAATTGCCCCAAGGGGATTAATAAAGCTCTAAACTAAAAATACTCTCTTGGGCAAAAAAATAAATAAATCCAGTATACATTAAAAAAAAATAAAGATCTATATATTATTAAAATATTAAACATGATATATTTATATTTGTAATAATACTAGTCACTTTTATTAGCTTTTATATTATTTAAAAAAATAATAATTTTAATTATAGTTCAATATATTGTTATACTATTCAATATTATTGATTTTATAATAATAAATATTTTAAATATATTTTAAAATATTAAAATAAATTGTGTATTTGTTCATTTATATTATTATAGTCTTTTATAATAGTTTATATTAAAAATATGTAAATATAATTTATATTAGAATTAATTTTAATATTCAGTTTTTATAAATAAATATTATATAATATTTAAATATCTATATATTTATATAAAAAAAAGATTATTTTATTTTATAATCGTTTTTATTATTATTATCATTTATATCACAATTCTAATCAAGTGTTTTTTTATATTAAAATGCATTTAAACAAACAAAATTATGTATTAAAGCCCTTAGCCTTTCAAATATATCCACATTTTTATCCCCAAAATACTTTTCAGACAGTTTTTAAAAAAAAGGTATTTAAAAAGGGGGAGAAACCTTTACATACATGCATGCATAAACATACAGTATATGGCATTGCCATATATATATTAAACATATATGACACAGTCATGTGACATATGACTGTGCCATTAAATGGTTACTTTTTCTGTAATATCAGCTACTGCTAGGTATCATTACAATTAAATTGTAATGTTACTTTGTAATGTCCTGCAGAAGAACATGCCGTTCTGGAGAGTGACGTGCCGGGCAGATCTGGAGGCGTTGAGTCACGCACTTGAGCTGGATTACCTCTAGAGGACAGCATCCGTCTGCTGTCTCCTCCCCATGTGTGGTCCACAGGGATCACATGACCCAGCCAAGAACTGCAGGACCAATCAGCAGGGAGCAGCAATCTTACTGGAAACGTTTGCTTCAAATCAATCCAAGAAAAATGCTTTTCTCTCTTTCTCGCGCTCCAGCTGAGAGGCTCAGCTCTTTCATTCACTCGCTTTTCTTCACAACAGCACTGCACTGAAAACAAAGACCCTTCAGCGACTGATTCAGAAAGCCTGTGTTCGGAATGACATACTATCACACTACTTGTACTATTTCTGCAGTATGCAGTATATATACTGCGCACAGTGTGTATTTTGTTTTTGCAGAAACCCAGATGACAATGGAGCACAACACATGGGTTTCCCAGAATGCAATGCACTTGACTTGACTTTACACAGCTCATCTCTGGACTGCCAAAAACTGAAAACAATTCCCCCAAAAAACTGATTCAAAATAACTTTTTTTATTTCTGAGATGAAACTAGAAGTCATGTGACAATGCAGCAAACTACTGTTTGAAATGTTTATCATAATGCATAATGTGTACTATTTTTTATATTAAGCAGTATACAGTGTAAAGTGTGCAGTATGCTGTAATGTTTGTTAGTATTGTTTTCTGAACATAGCCATTCTGAAACAACCCATTTTAAGGATGAAAGGGGTGTAAAAATAGAAGATTTTAGCATCAAAAATAAGATTTACATTTTTTACAGCATTAAATCATATGCATTTCCATGAACAAAAGACCAAATTCATAAGTGAAGAGAAAAAATACAAGATTTGATCATTTTATGTAATCAGAACTGAGATTTTTCTTGCAATATCATACCAAATTGATTGAATATTGCACCATACGTAAAAATAATAATTCAATATATGTTAACTACATTAAAATGCATTCAAATTAAGATATTGTACTAAAACTGCAGAAAAACTAACCCCTCACTTTTTGAGTACAAAGTACTGCAAATCCACTTATTTTAATGGAAACCCCTGAATAGATTTAAAAGTGAACTAACCATGAAATTAGCCAAAGTATTGTAGCGAATGATACTGCTACTGGTACTAAAAGAAATTACATGATTAACTTATGAATGTCAGTGTCCTGTGAGTTTCTGACTTCTTTTCTTCCTGTCTCTCTGATGTTTGCCTGAACATCATGTGGTTTGTTACTGATGTGTATTTGTTATTTTGCTGAAGTTGATATACTGTATACTGTACTGTACTGTATGTGCCGCTCTGACCTGCATGTGCTCTCGCAACTGCTTCTTTTCGCTATGATTTGTATATAAGGTTTTATTGTTGATTATTTCTGGGCTTATTATAATAGAATAAAGATAAATTAATTTCATTATCAAGTTCCATTCTTAAAGCAGCTTTTGCCTTATGTTAAGTGGCATAAACAGTAATGCAAAATTGCAACTGCTTCTTTTCGCTATGATTTGTATATAAGGTTTTATTGTTGATTATTTCTGGGCTTATTATAATAGAATAAAGATAAATTAATTTCATTCTCAAGTTCCATTCTTAAAGCAGCTTTTGCCTTATGTTAAGTGGCATAAACAGTAATGCAAAATTATTATTTAGTCTTTTTTAAGGGTATGAATCTCACAAAAAGATATCCAGCTCAAATTTCACTCTAAAATCAAAAGGAAAATAAAATTGTATTTTGCATAAACAAAACAATGCCTTTTTGAATACTGAAAAATCCTTAAATGCCATTTCTATGAAAAAATTCAGCGCATTTAAACACCAATTTTAAATAAGGCAAATAAAGTTAAATATTTATTATATAAATTTAATTATATATTATTTAATTTATATAAATATTATACGAAAGAATGAATGGGGCTGAAGTCAGGCCAGGGTGAACTTCCGGCTCAGGAGGTAGTACAGCAGCTCCAGGACTGCCCACTTGATGGCTAGGGCCTCCTTCTCCACCGCGGCGTAGTTCCTCTCGGCCGGGATCAGCTTCCTGCTGATGTAGATGACCGGATGCTCCTCACCCTCCTGGATCTGTGACAGGACGGCTCCCAGTCCTGTGTCGGAGGCATCCATCTGCAGCAGGAAGGGGCAGCTAAAGTCCGGGGCTCGGAGGATGGTCTCCAAGATTAAGGCCCCCTTCACCCTCTGGAAGGCCTCCTCCGCTGCTGGTGTCCACTGTACCTTCTCCGGCTGCCCCATCCTGGTCAAGTCGGTCAGGGAGGCGGCTAAAGAGGAGAAGTCGGGGATAAAGCAGCGATAATACCCCGCCAACCCTAAAAAGGTTCGTACCTGGGTCTTGGTCTCGGAGCGGAGCGGAGCGTACTGCCTCCACCTTCTTCTCCTGCGGCCGAATGAGACCCCGTCCCACCTGGAAACCCAGGTACTTCGCCTCGGAGAGGGCAAGGTGGCATTTGCGAGGGTTGGCGGTGAGTCCAGCCCTCTGGAGCTCCGAGAGCACCCTCCGTAACCAGTCCAGGTGGTCTTCCCATGCCTCGGAGTGGATCACGACATCGTCCAGATAGGCCGCGACGTAGGCCTGATGGGGCCGCAACAGGATGTCCATCAGCCGCTGGAATGTGGCGGGTGCCCCGTGGAGGCCAAAGGGAAGGGTCCGGTACTGCCAGTGGCCACTAGG